GTATAGCGGAATCCTTTGTAAACATACGCGGTACTCGCGGAGCATGTCGCAAGTGGCCGGTGGCATGCGGGTTGTCGCGTGGTTTATCGCACTCCGGATGACAACGCTCGTAGAACAACGTGACGAAGACGATTGGAAGAGGACAGTATTCCCAGAAGCGGCGAAGATGCACGTCGACATGTCCTTTGGAGTTATCCCGCGAAGAACTGTCACCGAAGCCCAGATGAGAGAACTTATCTTATTTTGATCCCTCGAGACAAATAGACTGAACGCAAACTTTAGACATGGGAATAAAGTAAGCACACGATTTCTACAACACGTGTTTCCTCTGCAATTTTTTATGCATACAACGGTGGATTTTCAAATTTTACTCATGAAAGCCAAAAATTAGTGCTTCCTGTGTTCGTTGATTTGAATATTTCGTTTGCCAAAAATCGAGGTACTCTTGCATCAAATTGGTACCTGAGATAATTGAATGGTTCTGAACGATGCATCATTTTCGGAGTTTGCTAAATGTTTTTCTCGACAATAACAAATAACAAATCAGTATCGTGTGCTCGTACACATGCACAACCAGTTCAACTTGTTGAAAAAGTTCAAATTTCATTAATGAGTGTGAAACACCTGTTTGTATTTACGTACTATCAGAAAATTCAAAATTTCATCCATGACAACGCCAGAATAAACGTAGGTCAATAATTGGAAGCAAATTCGTGACGATGAGACATTTTGGTGAAGAAATATTCAAAATGCTTTAGCTATTCTTAGTTTAAATAAATTGTCCTCATAGGACGAATTTTGTGTCCTCGAAGTGTCATTTAAGGTCGAAATATTCGCCGAAGGACAAAAATCGTTCTCCGAGGATAATTTATTTTTACGAGGGTATGCACTCTTTCTATTCGCTTACCGAATGACACTTAGCATTTTCAATTTGGTAATAGCTCACTTCAAACCAGAATGTTAGTGAGGGAAATCTTTTTTAGAGTGTGAGTTGACCTTACCGTCCCCCTCGCTGTGAGGGTGAATGTCCGTAGCCAACATCCAGTTCCCTTGCACTTTTTGTGAGAGAGGAGGAGAAAATACAGCCGAGAATTTTCCCGACGCCCGATTTACATTTGCGTGTCGGAGAAAGTGAACCCTTATCACTTGCTAATTATACCGTTAGATTTTCCCCTCGATATATCCGCTCGCTGGTGTCGCGCTGGTCCTGATGTTTCACTTGCAGGGACATATTAATCCCCCGGGACGCCGGGCATGGAGCAGTTAATTGTTGTGACAAGTCGAGAGAATAACACAAATAAATTCACTTACTCTCAACTGATCCGCCGGTTGCCAAATCTTTTATTCAAATAAAACAAAGGGTTGAACACGCAAAAAAAAGGTCGGTGCCGAGGACAGAAGCTTTGCTGCTCTCAGGGCTCCTGCACTTTCTTTTGTTGTAGTTTTTTTCAGTGAAGACGTAGGCTCTTTCAAATACTGCTTTATTGAAAAATGGAACAGTATCTGCAATAAATAAGCTTTTCAGCGTTTTGGTTTGAGAAAACCTTATCACGGACGAAAAAATCGCTACTCTTACATGCTCATGGTAGATTCCATGTCCCACCTATTTTTCTGGTCACTATGTTACATAATGTTACCTTCGTAGGACAATATTCGATGTTGGTAACAGTATAGTATTGTTACAGGGACCAAATTATTTGTACCACAAAAGTAGCATGGGAAGCACGTTAGGACAGAAGGTGAGGGTGGGCCCTGAAATCCACCATGAGCATCGTAAGGGCATCGATCCTCTTTTCTCCATGATGTGCACATTATTTCTGACGACAGGATCGTTTCCTCCTTGCAAAAAAAAAAAAATAATAATAAATAAAGAAATAAAAAAAATTGTAAAATGTAGCATGTAAAAAAAATCGATTCTATAATATTTGAGATTCCGATCACATCGGGAAAAATCCCTGTTACATAGTCAAGCCTGTCTTTAAACTATTAAGTTCCCATCAGGTCAACACGAGCACTTTTTTTTTGTTTATAGTTTAAAGTGCTATAATTAACTTTGAAATATTAAATTCTCTGTGATTGTAAGGTAAAGGGTGAGGCTTTCGTGCTTTAAATTAACATCACATATTTGTATCTTTCTCTGAATACCCATTCCAGGAACTTCATTTGCAAATAAAAGGCTATTTCGGTCATATATCTGGATGGGATTAGGGTTCCTTGGTTTTTTAATCGCAAAAATGGGTCATTATGAGCTTTTCAGTCACAAAAAACGGAACATTTTAAACTGCGGCAAAACGTTCGATGTGGAAACTCAGCGTTACAACCCTTTTTTCCGCAATCTCCCTTTTTGTCCGTGTCGTTTTTCTCTTACCACTGCAGCGCCACACCATCGTCCCCCGTGGAATTTCCATGCATTTATCTTGCCTCCTCATTTTTCTCACTGATGAGGCATTAAGCGACAAATCTACGTAATTAACGAATGCCGCGTTGATTGTGGTAAAAACTGATTCGAGGGGCTTGCGGAAATGGCGTTTGAATTATGACGATTGCCGAGTGTACGGTCAGAGAAAAATCCTTCAACATCGAAATTATTTGAAACTGTGGAGAAGTCTCACTCGCAAATTTCAAATCAAAATTGACTTCGATCTGTCATTTCATCGTCTTGAATTGGAGGTGATGACAACCCCGGAAGTGATTGATTTTCTATCGTTCTTCAACAAAATTGCTGATCCAACTTCAAGGGAGAGGGGGATGTCGAGAGAATTTGCGACCACTCTAAGAAGCTGATTTAACTGAATCCGCTCGTATCTTTACAATGAAAAATTCGAAAACCTCTTGGGATGTAAAGTCAACAACAGATTAAGTTGAATCAGCATTCGCGCATCTTAACATTTTTTCCTCCGGTATTATGATGACCAGCAGAAGGTTGTTAGGTTACCAACTTCATTTTTCTTTTTATTTGATGAAAGAGCTAATTTTTTGTGAGGAAAGTCAGGTCATCTCAACGAAACAGTCTCCAATTTTCATGAAAATGTCCTTAAAGTATAATTTTAATTAACCATGGTATTTTTTCTTTATTATAATAAATTAATCACTGATCCCTCTTTTTGCCGTATTTTATACTTTTCATCTTGAATAGTATGTAAGTTTATAAAGAAAAGAACTAAGTCCGTATCAATGCCCTGAAAAATTGATTGAGGACTGTCGTCAAGCACAGGGAAAATACCCACAAATCCAATTTGATCAAATTCACTCCTACGAATAATTTTGTCGCTGATACAATCAAACCCTGAACTCCCTGAAGATTCCTTTCTGTCTATGATGTAAAATCCAAATCTAGATGCAGTTATCGTTTGTTTGTTGTCCCCCCCCCCTCTATCTATATACATTTTACCTTATTCATGTTAACCTCATGAATTTTTTGCTTTATCACCGAGAAAAAGTAACCGCAATCTGGCTTTATACTTCAAACCGAGCCTTTCGTTCGTGCAATATGAAATCGGGGGAAATAATTTGTTTTAAAAGTTAAAGAGCCGCATGCAGAAACATTTTCTTTCAAACAACAGCACTTGTTATTCGTTTGACTTTTAAATGAGATGATCTCAAAGCTCAGAAAAATCGAAGCACGCGATTATTTCCACCCTCGACTCTTTTCACCAGCATCTTTGAAATCTTCATCTTATTTTTTAAACATTTCCCATCGGTCCTAGCCACGGCTCGGCGTAAACAGGCGTTTTTAAGTTAATACGGGTGAATAATGAAGCATAATAAGCTGTTATCCTCAGCGTAAGAGGGCCCGCTTTTATTTTACTGCAGGGTTTTCCGGCTGTTTTTTTACGCTGTTTTTAATTCACTCTGAGGGTACATTAACCGCCGGGGACACCGCAATGGTTTTTAAACGGCCAATTTCGTGTACCTCCCATCAACTTAATTATGATTTTACCAACGTTAATGAACGCCAAAATTACCTTGCTCCCCTTCCTGCTGTTAAAACTTTCTTCCGGAAAGTGCGGAGAAAGGAGCTTTCTTGCACCCTTCTTGATTGTTCTGAGTAAAAATCTCGGACCGCGCCTCCGCGACTTTTTTGTTCCCTTTCAAATCGTGGGGGATTTTTCCGCCCCATTGAGATGTTTAATTTGGGAAGTATACCATTCTCCCCATGTTCGCTCCTGTAAAGGTCGACATTTTAAAGAGCTATATGTAGGTAATCTTCTCCCAAAATTATTATGAGTTATTAACCACTACGGCCTCCAAAAATAAGACATTGGAATTTCATAACTTAAGATTTTCGTTGAGACAATATTTGAGGACGAATTTAAGAATAATTAGAATTCATCCGAACTACGAAAAATTCCGGTCATTCCAACGATCATCCTGTTGTGTATCGGTGCAACACGAATCCGCCCTGGCTATGCAAAAAAAAAAAAAAAAAAAAAAAAATCAAATGATGTATATGATGAACGGACCGTTGCGCTTTGATACAGTGAGTCACATCCTAAATCCATTCATCCTTCATGTAGTCAAGCAGGCAACATGCGCACCTATGAATTTAAATTGTGGTATCACCACCATTAGACCAAAATTCGTTGATTGCTTATCAATGATCGTCATTGCCTCTCTACCAAATCATCCTTCTCTACTTGAACATAGGGGTTTTTGCCACTTACGTGGTAGCAAATTTTATATGATGTATCTTACTGTGTACTACTTAAATATGTAATTTTATGCGTTTTGTATACGTCATAGTCACGTTTAGTTCAATCCAGCAATAAATTTTAATGCCTTGGGTCTTTTTCTTTTTTTCCAGGAGTTCCTGTTCGACGCCAAAAGCTGTGGAAACCGGAGTTGCCCGTCTTCCTTTTTACTTCAAATTAAAAATAATAAACCATTTATCTACCTCACAAGGTGCTCGGATGCACGTGCAATTATAATGTGTTGTTCAAGTGTTTTTTTTTTTTTCATTTTAGTCAATTAAACAAGCATCCAGAGCTACTTCTCATATTCTAAATCCATACCTTATGGTGGAAGTTCATTTTGTAACAAGTGCAATTATATTTTTACTTTTTTAACTCATTAAAAATAATCATAGATATATTCTTCCGCATCGTGAGCCGACTGAAATATCAGTAATCCGATAGCAAATTTTGACATGAGTGCTCAAGTTTGAACCATGGCTGCCTGTATAAGAGGACCAAGGACTTTGGCCAACAGCTCTGAACTCAACCATAAAACTAACTCAGCCAGTAACTACAAAGCATTTATCAAGGTAAGGTTTCATATTTTTGTATTTAAATTTATATTTATAGCTGTAGAATTTTTTTTTTTTTTTTCGGGTAATAATTGCCTTCGCGACATCATAATCAATACATTCATACAATCTGCCATCACAGTTCTTCGTCTCTCGGACGTAAGAACTTAACTCCACTCCAAGGTTGCCAAATTGATCCCAGCAATGGAATTATTTTACAAAAATGTACCGGTTTAATTTTTGTCCAAAATTTTCTGATTTTTTAATGAAATCTGAAGATAAATCGGTGAAATTTTCAGTTCAATACTCAAAATTTTCCTGGTTAGTATAAAATATACAAGGAGCAATCTGGCACCATTGAAATTGAGTTACGTTCTTTCTTTAGGGAAACGGCGAATTGTGTGGTTTAAACGATAATTGCTGAAAAAATCCCAGCAAATTGATGTAATTACCTTGTAAGAACCTAGAAATGACAGTTTTCTTGCTCTCATCAAGAAAGAGAAGTTGGAAGAGATACTCATCCACACTCTTCTCAAGAGAACTTTCGAGATTAAAAGTTCGCGAGACTCAAGTGCGAGCACTCACTTTGAGTGAATTACTCTGATGACGTTGTGGTGCGAATGAAAGAGATATTCCTGGTCAGTCCTGACAGATATTCATTTCCGTAATGACCATCTTGACTAATAGTGAAGAACTCTGCTTGCCAGTTGCCACAATCATGTGTATAGACAGCTGAAGGACGATTTTATTGTCGTCGTTCAGTATCACGTCATTTCGCTGATTAATCGGGGGCTCTTAGTCTTCGAGTCTCAATGTATCCAAGTGAGTGATTGCATCATAAGCTTACGGATGATTTGAAATCTGCAATCCATGCACTTCCATAGTCACTTATTTCCACTTGTCATTTCTACGTTTTTTGGAATCACGCACAGTGTCAGGTTAATCGGAAGGAAGTTTTGAATAGGGAATACCTTAATTAAAAGGGAATCAGATGGCCAAAAACTTATGGTTAGCAAGAATGATGCGAATAATTTAAGCATATTTTTTACTTAAAATATTCGAAAAAATCTTCATAATGCAAATTTTTTGGTGATTTCAACAGAGAATTTGTAAAATTAAGGTGCCCTTGTCAACATTAATTTGTGTTGCAGTTTGAAACTTCGGCGTATAATAACGTAGAAAAAAAAGGGTCTATAAGGAAACACAACTTCAGATGGAGTTCGAAAAAATGTTAACCTTTACGTCCAAAATGCTTAAAAATAGTATGGGCTCATCCCGACTTGTAAGCGAAAATGATTATATTTTTAGGACTTCAATATCTTAATATCGACGATTTTTCTAACTTCATTTAGAAATTGTTTCCCTTTCGTTTCATTTTTCTCTTTTCCAATCGCTAATTATGTATAAAAGTATGGTGGTATGATGACGGCTCTTCAGATCCAACATCACTTCTCTATTTCATAGTCAGGTATCTGTAATATTTTAATGCAGGATTTTTTGCGTAAATTAGACAACCTTGCGCGGAAAGCAATTTCCTTTCATCGATACAGCACGGACGTGGATCTGTAAAGCACCAGATATCCTGTCATCAGAGAGCGAGTTAGCGTCGGAGAGACAGATCAAAACGAGGAGTAAAAATGCCATGAAAAACCCGGTTTTAAGTCTCAACGCGACGTCTCCGAAGGTGTCCCGTGCCCATTAACCAGTTCCGATCATAACTCACCGTTCCGGTGGCTTTTCGTGGCACCGGGACTAGAAGAACCGAGTTTGACTCATCGAGAGAGGTCAAGCTTCTAATAAAATTCGGATCGACTCGCATTGTTGCCTCACTGAAAAAATTGGATTCATTATACAGCAGTAAAAACAGTTTTCTCTGTGATTTTTCAGTGTGCGGAAGAAATTACTTGTTACTTCCATGGCGGTATACTTATTGCACTAATAGGTTATGAGTCAGAAAAGGGGAACTCTCCCTCTTCGGTGGGAATTTTGGAGCCAGTGATTTTCTTGAAGCTGCCGACTAGTAGAACAAGATTTTATTTTTTTTACCTTGATATTTGAAGTAAAATTCAAACGCGTGAATTTTAAAATCGTCTAGTGCCCATATGGTCATGATTTTCATAACCATTTCCTATTAAGATGAGTAAGAATCGCATGATAATTACCTTTTTTGGCGAAAAATTTCAGAACATGGAGACACTGGGCCTTCTGAAATCTGCTCCTATACTCCCGGGAAGCAGGGTTTCTTCTGAGAGCTACAAAAAATAGAGACATTTTGGCGAGTTTAAGGCCTTAAAAAACTGTCAATAGCCATAAAATTTAGACCTTCTTACAATCTGAACAAAATGATTCAGATAGAATTCTGTAGATAAGAATTAAAATCAATTCGATTTTGCTTGTTTTTATTGTACAAGTCAAAAAATTAGAATGACAACGATTTATATGATTCTTTCAAGCTCGAGAAGTCAAATCACTGTGTTGCAATAATACGTCACAAATAGACAACTAGTCAGTAACTTAGTTCCGTAATAAGATAGTATCCACCTTTTAAAGTTTTACGAGCCTTTGTTAAAAATGCAAAATCATATCATTAAAATCTCATGCCAGATGCCAGAGTGTGTCCGATGGCACTGTTAATATAATTGTTGGACTAGATGCTGTGTTCCATTCTGCCGTGCTACGGAAGAACGCCGTTTGAAAGTTCGATTGTTGCCAAATTTCCTCAAATAAATCATGTATTGGTGAGGAAAGTTGTGAATAGTATTCCTTGAAATTTTCAAATGTTGTAGATTAAATTGCGAACAAAATTGTCTGAAAGTTTTGGAAAAAAATATTCAGAATTATCTGGGTATAAATCTGACTTTTATGGAGGAAATATGGCGACATCATAAGGCTCTTACGACGTTTTGCCTTAGCAAGGCAGAATTGCGGAGGAGGCAGCCTCAAGGAACGTCTTAAAGTTCGGACCCAAATTAGTCAATAAAACGAATGAAGAAAGTAAACTGTTATAGCAGATCCTCCCTAATACAGGGAGGCCAAGGCAGACGAATCTATCGAGGCAGTTAAACGAAGTAGGGTTTGATGACATCTTGTTGTTCAACTTCACAGCTCGACCGGGCGACAACGAGTTATTGGCCGCGATATAAACCCCTGATGGGAAATCGCTTTCCGACCACTTGTTGGAGCTCGTAAGATTTTTATGAGACTCTAATGGGATTTGATTTGTCACACGGCCTAGGTGCGGGAGAGTCTCATTTTCATCGCCCGCGGAAAAAGTGACGACGTTAATTTTCTTACACTTAACTCATAGGGAATGACTTGATTTATTTTGCATAAATAATCAGTCCATTTGACGGGGAGTTACAATCAGAAATTCATGGAGTTTTATTTGTCGTAAGTTTTCCGCACTGGCGAGGCGTGAACGATCGATCATCGATAGTTCCCCATTTGAAGCTGTGGTGAAGAATCGAGTATACAGGTGTCCGTTACGAACACCCTGTTTATCGATCCTTTTCCATAGGTTTAGATGGCAGATTGATCGATGTATCGCAAAAACATTGGTTAGTGGTTTTCCTCCATTATGTCTCTTAAATCCCAATCGCTAATACGGGTGGAAATATCTCACAAGCGATAATTGGCGATTTATATGTGATCCCGCAGTCGTATGAGGTTCATACTTCGGTTATTTGTCATACCTTTTCTTGCTGAAATTATTATTCCGCTGCCTTCTTTGTCAATTTAAGTGTAAAATCACCGCCATTAATTTGACAACCAAAATTTTATAGACTATAGGAGGCTACGTCCTCTTAACCACTTCCGGTGGCGTGGCGTGCTTCGATATACATCGATATTTCCCCATTTGAAGCTATGGTAAAGAATCGATTATTAAGGTGTTCGTTGCGAACATCCTGACAATCGATCCTTATACGTAGGTTTAAATGGGAGATCAATCGATATATCGCAAAGCACGCCACGCCACTGGTATTATATGCGTTGTGCAAACACGAGCACACAAACAGACTGTGGGGAGAAAACCTTCCATTGCCAAGAAATTAACGGAAAATTATGAAAGAATTAACATAAATGTGGTTTTATAATTTTAACTTCTGCCGCCGCGCCGCGCTGACCGCACTGTGTTTAGCGCAATGCGTGAAGTATTCCTACAGTCTCGGAGGCGCTATGCGTTTCACGCCGACTGTTGTTGGACGCACTGTGTTTGACGCAATGTGTGAAGTATTCATAAAGTTTTGAAGGCGCTATGCGTTTCACGCCGACCGTTGCTGACCGCACTGCGTTAGACACATTGCGTGAAGTATTCATGCAGTCTTGTGGGCGCTCGGTGTTCCATGCCGACCACCGGCGCCGCGCCGAGGGCTTCTCCTTTTCATCTCAAGTCCTCGTCATCATTGCGCACTTTGCCGCGCCGCTATAGGCCAAATTGCGTGTTTGGTTTCTCTCTTTGTATCACCAAAAGACAACAAAATTAAAAATTACTATACTCTTAAGAAATGAGAGATTTTGTCGCCTTTTCTCGTTTATTATTTTTTTTCTGAATCCGATTCTTTTTTATACCTTCATTCGAAAAAATTGCATAATTTGCCGCCATGGGCCGCGGCCCTTGTGGCCAGCCCATATACTTGGCCCTGGTTCTACAACCGTGGAATCCCGTGTGACATTACAACTGCGTAACCGTAAAATAACCGTCCTTTTTTCTGATGTTATAACATCACTGAGCCAGTCCCACCGAAAGTCAAAGGGAACTAAATTCTGACAATGCACTTCTCCAGCTCCATGTCAACATTTGATCCAAGCACCAAGCTTTAGGAAAAATTGTGCGCTACTGATAATTGTTTTCTCACCCCGAGTGAAAATCATTTTCAATTGTTTTATTTCCCGTATGGCTATTTCGTTTCATATCTTTGAGCTTTTCAATAATTTCAAACCTGACCGCAAAAATATTATCCCTCGCAGTTTTGTATGCTAACCGTGTTAATTAAATTGCGGTGGACCCCGATTGTTAT